AGGATTGAGGCTGTAGCCAATTGTCTGATGGGGGTAGTTGGAGGATTTTGAAAGATTACATGTAGCTGCAAGGGCCTAGCCGGTTAGGGTTCATATACATGTACATGTACACCGCCCCAGTTGAAACCATCTTGATAAACAGGTCAACCCTAAGCTTTGAGGTTTATGTAAATCACGTAGAGTCTTGTTGAATTTGGCATGCTCGGGTATTAACATGATGATACAAATTCTGTCAAACTGGGAAAGAGGGGTTTGGGTAAGGGAAGATTTTAACATACATATATTCCCCCCACCCCTCCAAAAATGAGAAATGACAAATTGGAAGGACCTTCCTTCTGTAGGTCAAACGGCTACTTCTTCCTTAAAACCCTTGGAAACCTGGAAAAATCGATCCACCTCACTGAAGAGCATATGTGTCCCTTCCATGCATGCTGATGTTAGCTACCAGTTTGTAATGTCATCCCTCATTTTAATACACCCCGTCCCCGCCCCCTCTTTCTCTCCTCTCCTGCCTACCCTGGGCACCAAACCTGGATATATCCAGTACATTGTACATATGTAAGCCACTGTGTCCAGTCTTTGATGTTTTTCCGCTTTTTCACCTTCAATATGAATCTGTGTCATCGTTGTGCAGTTTTAAGGCTACACGTGTACATGTATATATCCCGGTGCATTCCTTCATGGCAGGTACATCTTGATTTGATGATTATGTATTAATGTCATGATATACATGTGTGCACCAACCATCGGATCAAACACACTGTCGAGTTACATGCACGGCACACATACGTCAAAGCATTTTTTGAATGGTTTTCATTCGACTGATCCACTGCCTCCTTACTTGGGCTCGACAGGCTTAGGAGCGAATTAGACAGTTTATAAACTTGAAAGTAAAAGTGCACTTGCTCTGTCGTGAAAACTATCTCATTATGAAAAGCATTAACTTTCCTTTGAATACTTGACAAAAGCGTGGAGGAAGTAAAAAGGAAACCTGTCCAATGCATGCTGAAACACTGTCAGCGCCGACCGTGTGCAAGTTACTTTCTGCATTGTAGGAAGAAGTGTGCTGATAAATCCTGGTATGGTATAACTGACTGCAACTGGACTTGAACTCCCCGCAGAATCCTGTATCAGTTACTGATGCGGAGTTGTGATACAGTGTTTGGCGGGTGCAGATTCAAACTCTGCACTTGTTAATTGCTTTGTTGAACCCCACAATTATTCTGATCAATCTACATATAGATGGGACTTGTGCCTTGGGGATATGATAATATGTAATTTAGTGCTTTGACCTTGACAGTAAGGAGAGCACCGAGCGCCACATCTAACCCAAGCATGGCAAGAAAGCTCAAAGAGTTTTTCTAACAAAATCTTGGGCAGTGCTAAGGTTACCGTAGTTTATTGCTTGTGTAATTACATCACTGAGGTGCGGAATTCCCCAGGTGTTAGCATTCTGTTATTTCAAGACCCTTCGTTCGATGAGTTCCTTGTCTCTTGGCTCTGCAGGAGGAGAAGATCGCCACCCTGGAGAGTCGAGTCCGGGAGTACGAGCATGAGCTGAGGAGGGTGCGGTCCCTGGGCTCGCTGAGCCCCGAGGAGCGGGAAGACCGGCAACGAGAGATAGATGACTACAAGAGCCATTCCAAGCTTCTCAAGAACCAGGTGAGCTCGGGGGAGAGGAGGGGAGGGAGGTGCGATTGCTGCAGAAACTTCCCCACGGTTCTGCTTGTCCCCCTGTTGGACCTGCTTGTAGGAGCCCTCATGCTCCTGATGGCTGTGTGCTGTGTTAATGGTGTCACACATGCTGTGAGAGTAATTAGTGTGTACAGGCATGCTTTATCAAACTACACGAAGACTACACTTCAGTAGAGTCTTGTGAGACTTCTGCTGTCTTCAATTCCAAATTAGTATGAATCACGACTTGACTTTGACAGCAATAGTTCAAACTTATTTTGTCTTGACAAAATTTATCTCATTTTTGCTTTGAAAATGTATGATCTCTAAATCTATTATGATAGCTCCTTTTCAGACTCAATATGCAGTATCGCACAGCACGCCCAGCCCCAATAAAGTCAGTGTAGACCATTCTACCACTTCTCACCTGACTTAATTTCCTGATCTCTCTGCATGAGCTGCAGTCATCCCAGGCATTGCTGACCTATAAGGTTTCATGACCTCTCAGACCCGAGGACAGTGCACTAGCCTTTTTTCTCCAAGCCCCTCTCACAGCCTGAGGGCGGGGACCCACCATGGGTTTCAACCAGCAAGAAAAAAACAGATAAGGAAAAAAAAAAGAAAACAGAACAGCTTGTGTTTATCATAGGTCAGTTAACGCTGAGAAGTGCAAGGCATCAGCTTAGTGATTACCAGCATAAAATACGCCACCAGGGTTAACAACATCATTGGCTGGATGTTATCATTTGATACAGTTTTGCTCCATTTCTTTTTAATTTTTACGTCGCATGGACTTTTGTCATAACCAGAAATATTGCGCGCTAACTGTCAACATCTTGATGTAAATGCTTTCCTGTGTCATATAGCTGAGAGCATGCAATTAGACAAACTCTCCTGCTCAAGAGGCTTTCTTGTTTTCTCATGAAGTATTCACGTAAAGGTTGTTGGGCCTTTGTTCAAGTATACACAACTTTGGGCATTTTGGATGTAACTTGATGAGTCTTTGTACTGTGGAGGACAGCCACATTTATATTGTGCTCTAACTGTGAAGCTGTTAGCATTTTTGTAATAAAATTTAAGATAGTGGACTTTCTGTTGCACTGAAAACATTAAAACCCATTTAAAAAGCACATGTAACATGGGAAAGCTCGAACTCATCTGCTGTCCCTCTGCACTGGCAAATTCACGAATTTCAAAATAGGGGATGAAATTCCAGTACATTCATGCATAATGGAGTACACATCAAAGAGGCCGATTAATTGTCTTGACTCTTCCGTTTGACATGCCCAGGTCGATCAACTCAAACTCGAGCTCAACAAGAAATCGTCAGAGGTGCAAGCGCTGCAGACCAAGATCGAGACGCTGACCCACCAGCATCAGGACTACCAGGCCCATGTCAGTCTGCTCAAGGAGTCACTGGCAGCCAAAGAGCAGCACTCCAGCATCCTGCAGGCAGACGTGAGTTGGAGTCCAATGGGTTTGAGTTTGATTTGAAGTGGGATCAGACCCACTGGTCCCAACATTTTTGACTGCGGAGTGTGTTGAGAGTGAGGGCAGGACGCCACTTGGTACCATCTTTGGAGGCCCAAATGCATTTGTGCGCTCAATTAAAGTCTCACCAGTAGACTCAACATCTCAAAGAGGCTTCTATGTGCACTCATTTTACTTTTGTTTGTGCCAAGGATATTGAGATAAAAATTGTTCCATGTCTAAGTAACCCTCAAATTACTTAGTTATCTCTCGATACAGCTTGAAAACATGGAAAATTACGAACTTCTGTCATGTGCTTTCCTGCGCAGAATGTGGTAGTGGCCATCTTTGGATGACCAAAGACAGAACCATAGAGGAAGTGTTTGTTTGTGTACAGAAATATCCAATCAGGATGTAGAGATCATTGGCTACACCAGTCCATGTCTTGAACTAGTCTTGGCTTGTTTTGCTCTCATTTCATTGGTTGCATTTTGTCATTTCCGTTGCATAGTGTTGTGTTGCGTTAATCTGTTGCATTTTGATTAGCCATTATGTACCCCCTTGCTTTCAAAGAAGGGACATGCCGAAGTGGAAGTTTCGACAGAGCCCTCCCCCTTTTCGTGTTTATGTCGAAGTACAGAACATTTTCAGTCACATGATTTTTGACAGTCAGCGTTCAGTTTAATGGGTGTGTGGGGAAACGCAAGCCTTCCGAGTCTCTCAACATTCTGGCATTAATGAAATTGCCAACAGAAATACATAGATTTGAAAATGTACCTCCATGGACATGGTACGCTTCCTGAAATGCCTTTGCCCGTCATGTTACATCACATGAAAACCTCTATATATGTCGAGACAGGGTCTATAAATATCTGGCTTTGGTTTGTCTCATCATTAGCTTTAATTCTGTTTCTGTCTATGTGTTGGAACCCCAGCACTGATAAATTTATTCCACTGGAAGGTCCCCTCCTGTCAAGCGATTGGTCCCCGCTCGGTCCTTTGATCTGCTGTGTCACGAATAACCTGTTTCCACTCAGCCTATGGGGTTCATTGCGTCGTGTATCATTTATCCACCCCCACGATCAATCGCAGGGCCATCTGAGTCAACACTGCACCAAAAACATGCCAGGTTTTTTACTGTTTTTTTGTTCTGGATATCGGATGCCTTTTCATGCAAGGATTATCATCCAGTCTCTGAGTTCTTAGAGATTTTTCTTGTTGTCCCAAAGTGCTCTCAGGACTTCCGGAGATTATTCAAATTACTGCAGGGGTGTGAGAAGCCAGTTTTTCAGCCGATTGCAGCTTTTTATGATTAGATCTTTACTCTGAATTTCAGGTTTTTTATACAAAATTATGGGAACTTTTTTTTTTTAATTTGAGCTTTTTTGTGTATGTAACCACTCACACTCCATATTAGTACGCGTGTGATTGGAACCTGTTCTGACTATGTTTGGTTTCTTTCTCTGTACATGGGCATTGTGTGTGTGAAATAGGGGTTAGGGTTCTTATTGACTTACATTGTACAAGATGGAATGCCTTTAACTCAAAGAGCTGCTCTAGCAGCCTGTAGCTCATATAGACCTTTTTCATCCACATGACTTGGTTGTGCTAAATGTAAATAATACCACCACGTGTGGACTGCCTTGGCCATGGGGACCGCACGTGTTCCTACGGCCAGCTTCAACCATGTGCGGACCCTGCATGCTGGACTAGTTTATCTTGAATAGGTAGATTACCATCACAACACTATGCATTTGTTACCATAACAACACATCATAGGTCCAGCACTATGGTGACATCATAGGAAAAATTAGGTCACAACTGCTCGTTCTTTTTTTTATCAATGCACCAATCAGGTGGAAGCTTTGCGGGCACGCCTCGACGAAAAGGAGATGACCCTTGTCAGGAAAGAGCAACTCCTGAGCACTCTCAGTACGGACAAGACGAAGCGCTTCTCTGAGGTCAACGAACTCAAAGAGATGCTGGATATTAAGGAGCGCAAGATTGGCGTACTCCAGAGGAAGGTACAAACAAACAGTCTTTGTGTCAAAGCAAGAATTACAAACAATAACACAGCATCTTTCATACCCTCTGCATTGTTTTTTATTACTGCTGTTCAGGTTGAGGTACATGCATGTTGCATTGCATAATGTTGGCTATTGTGTGTACATGTACATACAGAATGACATTGGATTGCCCCAATTTAACTCTCTGCACCAGTCACAGGAAATTCATTTAACTTGGGACTTTGGTTTCAGCAGCTGAAGCCATTAAAATGAATGCAATGTTCGTGGTTACAGCTCTCTCTGGTTATAGATATTTGGCAGTCCCAGAGGATTGTTCTGCCATGACACATCAGCATCCATATTTCAGGTATGCGACTTGTCCTCGGATCAACTGATTTAATGGTTTTTCACTTCACACTCTTGCCGTTGAAAATTGAAAAACATTGAAGTCTTGTAAAGATTGGGATTTCCTCGTTTTTTGTCAAAGTCCAAGTTGCATGCCTGGTATTTGAAGGTTTTTACCAATGAAAACGACTTATTGACTGAACTTTAGTCATTAAAATATAGCACAAGAAAACAAATGAAAACTTCCTTATTTGACTACTTGATTGGCCTAATTTCCTTGACACCAATCGAAGTTTTCTAGACATTAGTCCTAGTTTATCTGGGCCAATTCTCAAAGTGCATAGTGTCAACAACTTTCTAAATCAGTAATATCTTGGTCGGAATCTGATTTAAAAAAAAAATCACTTTTTGCTCGAGTAGAGGTCACTACAGTATCTCAAAGTTCAAGTCAAACAGCCAGCGCAAAACTTGTTTACAAATTCTTTGCATGGTTGTAAGTGCCTTTATCATGAGTCATGACAAAAACCATTATCAACCGGACTCAATCTGCAGAGAATTCCAGCTCATTTGACTTTTGTTGCGGCAGCCCCAGACGGGAGCCCCGTTCAGACTGCAAACACTGGGGTCCCATTCCTCACTGCCAGATGACAAATGAATGGGTTGATAATGACCGCTGTTGTTGTGGTAGTCAACATGCATAAACACAAAGGCTTCGACCGTGCCTGCTTTAATAATACACTTTTACATGTTGCCTTTCACTGGAGAGCGCGTTCACTGTTGACTTATTCTGGCTGGAGAAGTGCACAGACTCTAATACCAGGAATATGTGCAAATCACACACACATGTGATGAACCTGTAAGGTTTTTCCATTTGTGTTTGCCTACATCCATTGTCGTTTCAGTGCAGGCAGTGCACTGGGGGTCTTGGGTGAATGCTCTTGTGCTGTACATACAGTCAGGATACGGGGGATAAAACCAAGAGAGAAGACAGTGCTGTGGGTCCTCAGACTCGGCAACCTGTCCTCGGTCCGAATTAGACGAAAAGTAGAGGGTGAAACATCATCTTTTCTCAGATGAGAATTGTTGACTCACTCCCTCTAAACAAAGCCACAGAGTAGAACAAATCACAAACAATTGCCCAGGTTTGATTCAGAACCACAAGCAGAGGAATTGCTGCCCGTCACTCTCAAGTTAAGTCCAGATTTTTTCAGGGAACTTCTCTGCAACCTCATCAGAGAATCAAATCAGCCAGAATTAACCGTCTCGCTAAACTGATTACAGCCACACACAAGAGTCTGAGAGCCACACTTGTTTTCAGCCGCGCATATGCTGTCCGGGCAGCGTAATGAAATTAACGTCTTATTACAGCAGATTAGCAGACCCCACCATGGGAAATCAATGGCTCCTATCCGCAGGATGTCGTTGAAACAGTTGCAGATCAGAATGCTCGGCAGCATGCCACCAAGTTTAATGTCAAAGTCACAGTCTCTGTAAAGAGTCCAAACAGATCAGGCTTTGAGAAAAATTGGTGTTTGGCATGAAACTTATCATCATTATGAAAAAGAGATACTTCTATTTGTTTGTATTTTCTCTAGTCTTAACATCACATCATGTGCATTATTTAGATACTAGATTGTGTGGTTTGGTTGAAGCAATTGTGCATTTCACATGTGAGTTTATCTCTTCAGGACTTAAGCAGTAAGTGCATAAGAAGGAGTGAGTTCATGGGTTTGCATTTCAAATTCCTCATTTTCAATTGGTTACAGGTACAGCTTTTCCAAATCTTCAATTAAAGCATTCTGTATGAGTGGGCACATGAGGTTTCATTTCTCACACAGTCATTAAGCACACCACATTGATCCCAGGTGGTTAGCAGGTGAAAACAAGCGAAATACATGGTAGCATGTACGATGTAAGCAAGTGACTGGTAGTTGGGATAAATGACTTTTTGAGATGTTCCAATGTTGTAACCAGTCACTGAGTTTTTGTAGCTCAAGTTGAGTCATCCAAAATTGTCACGCGAGCTGGACTTGAGTCCAGATTATCCTGGATGATGATGTCAGTCTTTTTGTCGTTCCACTGTGCGGGCAGCAAGATCAATAACATGTGAAATTTTTTTATTGCGTTCTCGCATCTTGTAAACTCAATCATTGCATTTTAAACATTTTTATATCCCAATTAATAGGAACTGATAGTGATCTGAAACAATTGTGCTGTTTCAAGAATGACACACTGAAAATATTGAAGGAGATAGATGTAAAGTGTGCCACAAGTTATTCACATGATCATACTTTGTCATTAGCATAATCCTCCTTGTTGAGTACATGTACATGTATGTGTAATGTACAAACTGTGTTAAAAAAACCACCCTCAAGGAAAGTCTAGTTTGCAAAAATGTTTACTCTTAGTGTTCTTTTCAAAAAATTAATCCCCCCCCAAATTTGAATGATACAGCTATGTTTTATATGTACGTGCACATGCTTTATCTCCTGAAAATGTTTTCCTCTTTGTGAGGTCGGTTTTTATATTACTCACTTCCGTGTTGCCAGGCAACGGGTGTTTCAGCCTTTCCTTCTCTTGCAGTGGTTATATCTAGACAGTGATTGTGATTATGTAGAAAGCATTTTGTGATCTCCAGTCTAGATGATTGGAGCTTAGAAATAAGCGTCAAAGAAGTGAAACATTTGTATGAATTGTCAGTTCATAAGGAAAGACGAATGGATAGAAACCATAATGGTTTACGGTACAAAGGCGGGGGGGGACTTGGAACAATCAGCGCTTAGTACAAGTTTGCTTGAGACATAAGGAACAAAAGGACCATTTGTTATTGGTCTCCACTGCACTTTTTTCTATGACAGCCGAGAAGTCCAGGTAATGCCATCGACCTTGTGTTCACAAGCATCAAAAATATTGTCTTCATTGAGCCAGGAAGTTTGTACATAAGCCGACAAAATTCAAAGCACAAAAGCATGTACTGCAGCTGTTTGTGAGCACGTACGTGTACTTGGCTGGCAAGCAATTTGGCAACATTAGCACCGAACATATCCGCAGGATCTTAAGCAGAAGACGAGTTACCACTTCTGAAAACAAACAGCTGAGTGGATTGTGAACGATAGAACAGCTTTTTACATGCACATGTACCTTCAATGGAGTCTGAGGACTTGCTTCAGTCAGGCAATTTTAACCCTAACATTCCTGAATCCTCCAACTTTAATATGATTTTGCACACACCCTAGGGAGTTAGGGTTAATGAAGTAGTTAGCATCCAATGGGCACAGTTGTCGAGTCCTCCAAAGTCAGTCACAAGTCATCCCAGTCGGAGGATAGATTGCAAAGATCAATTGCAATTCAAATCAACTGAGAAAAAGAGTTCCTTTGTCCTTGTTCATTCCTCTCTGGGCTTGCAGTGGACTTGGCTACAGCTCCCCTTTCTAGATAATTAGGAGATACACTGTAGCCTGTATGTGGCAAAGGGTATCCCCTTCTCTTTGACAGGGCTGTGCTCAAAACGTTTTGGAGTGTTTGAGATACCACGGGGTGCGCTTGATAACAATATGTGTAGACAGTGTTTGGTTGTATAGGGACATACGTGTGCATGTAAGGGGTCCTCTAGGACATTCCTCTTTCTGCTGTGTGCCGTGCTTGTTGTAAGGATGTTGCCACGAGGGCTGGGATCAGGTGGACTCGTTGATTGCTGTTGAGCCAACATACAGTGAATAGCACCCCTCCATCCCTCCTTGTCTTTTTAAAACCATTTAAGACCTTGTTACCTCATAGTGTGTGGGGGAAGGATGTGGTCAAGTGATCCAGGTGGTTAGAATTGTTTACTCTCGATCAGAGGCTGCATCCGAATCTGTTGTCTAGAGCTAGGTCTAGGTCTTTGCTCCATTGGAAATGCGTGGAGACGCGTAGACAGTAGACGTAGCCGTAGCTCTGGAAGCCCATTTCGGACACGGCCAGAGAATCGGAAGTTTGAATCCAGCAGCTGCTTACACTAGGCAAGTCACTCTACTCCCACATGCCACTCTCCCCCAGGAGTATATATTGGCACCTATGAGGGTAGGCTGCTGATCTTGGTTTCATGACCTGATGATCATCCTACTTATCACAATTACATTGAATACATTGTATTAGCTTGTCATTTGTTTTAAAACCATCACGGCCCTCAGCAGATAATTCACCAAGCTGGCTTCTAATCCATATCTTGTGTTATTGTTACGTTATGTTTTTTTTTGCTTCGCTGCCCGCAAAGCTTTCTGATTTGACTAATGCCATGGACATCAAGGAGCGGAAACAATACATACTTCAAATCAAGGTGACAGCCGTACTAACCCCACCAGTGGCTTAACTATTGGGGGAATGCTCCCCACTACTGTTTGAAATGTTGAAATGTATACAACCTCTGTATAAGTCTTCAGTTCATTTGCTTTTGATGCCCACTTGGAGAAAGATGTGAGCCCCAGGTGCCCCCTCGGAAATTTCACCCCAGTTACGCTACTGTAACCCACTAACAACTCCTTATCTTCTCTTAGTGCCTGTGTTATTAATAGTCAGCCGTGTGCCTAATGGCCCATAGGATCATTGGCATTTACTGCTCTTGTTTCTTATTTTTCAAAAGGCCAGTTTGTGCCTGATGTGAGAGCAAACATAAATGCAAATTTGATGTCATCAAGCTTTTAATGGTGTTCTTTTACCAAACTTGAAACGTTGTTAAACTTTGTGGTGACATAAGTTGTATTCAAGTTTGCTTTCACAGAACCGAAACAAGCTGAGCTTGTTGCTTCCTGTTTATAGACTAACCTGCTGATATGGATGTACATGTGCTTATAATCTGAGTTGGTGCTGTGGACTTTATGCGCACTGCATGTAACCATTCCAACAAGGCCAGAGTTACGGTACTTTTTTTGAAAAAAATTTAGTGCCCCGCTCAAAAACATTCCCCACACACACACAACAGGTTTTTTGTACTCATTCAGTCGAAAATAAGACACAGTTCATACCTTCCTTGGGTCCCTTTCATAGACAAGTATCATCATCTGAAGTTTCAGCACCAAGTCAGGTACTTTCTCCAGAAAATGGTGAAAAACTTGTGCCCAATTTATATTCTTCTCAATGTGCAGTTACACCTGCACTTCAGTTGGCAGCCACTCGATCACAAATTGCAGATCGGTGATTATCTTGGAAGTCCATAATTATATTCTGATGTCTCCAGGTAAACGACGCATCCACTTTGTTCAGACCTATGAATAATACAGTGGGACATCATAAAATAACAGTGTAATCTTTGTCTCAGTAACTGGCATTAATCAGTTGGAGATCATAATGCTGCCGCGATGCTACTTCACAAGTTTTGATGCTTGAGATTGTACTCTCAATAATGACATGTTCACAGTTTGGTATGCAGTACCAACTCTCTGTTTTTTGTCTCAAGTAATTTTTTCATGATCAAAAGTTTTGCTGTTTTCGTTGTGGATAATTGCAAATGATCCTATTGGCCTTTCTCACTATCTAGCTTTGGGTAAAACTGCTGAGGATTTCGCTTCATATCAAATGAGAAAAATTGATGTCTCTTGCTTTATTTTCGTCAGTGGTCGCAATTTGCAGCCCCATTTTCCTCCCATAGATAATCATCCTGAAAATGATCACATTCCCTCAAATTGTTGAAAAAAAAAATTGTAAATGGGACGGCGCATATGGGTGGAGGGTTCCAAGGGAAATTTTAAGGCCAGATAAGCCACAGCTGTGTCTTACACACTCAGCTGCTGCATGGAATAACATTTTCCCTTATAGAAGCCACTGGCCAGTGGCTGCTGTAATTTACCATAGACCTAGGGGAAAATCCCAGCCATTGCCAGTTGATTCAGACTATGGCGGAAGGAAAATCCATGTTCAGACTTAGCCTGTATTTTGAGAAGGGCAGTGGTGACCTTTGACCTACAAGTGAACCCCCCAAATTGCTTTTATATTGGTCCAATGACATGATCTTTTATTGTAAGTCACAGAATTAAAGATTTATTGCCCGGAAATAGTGTGTGCTTTTTTTCCAATTTAATTGTTTTCCACGTTACATCTTTGAAGGCATGGATAGAACATGTTGAGTCCTCTCTCTTTTCTACCTTTTTGCAAGATTGTTCTATTCCTCTTTGCACTCTCTCTTTGTGTTTGGCTTTGATGAATTCTGCATTGTCAGAATACTTGCATCAATTAACCAGTGACCAGTTCCATTTTACTGCTGCTCTTCGTGCTGTTCCTCATTTTCCCCTTATTTTGTTCTGTGGTATGCCCGGTTGACACCTCTTGTTTAAACGTTTAGGAAAACTCTTCGCAGTCCTCAGTAATTCTTTTCAAGACTGAATGTAATGTATAGTTTTGTCATACTCGTAAACAAGGATTAAGGTTCAGTGGTGATCATGGAAGTAACTTAGTCCTTTGTTTGGCCTTCACGAGGTAGCCATGCTGGTATTAGCCTGTGGCTGTGACTTCATCTTATTGTGGCTACCGTGAGTAATAACCAACGTGGATGGAGTTTGTTTTGGGGGAGCTGTCAAACTAAACATGTTGTTTAATTTTGAGTTGTTCTATCACTTTCGGCTTGGCAACCAAACTCAACCAAGTGCATTAACACAATTTTTTTTGGGGGGGGGATGTTCCAAAACACTGATTTTATGCACATAGAGGGTAAATCACACCCATGTTGTTTTGATGGAGATTAAAATTGGATGCCATCCCGTCCGTAAAAGTTTGTCAGTTTTGTTTCCTTGATGAGGAAAAAAAGGAAATAATCTTAAAGGTAGATAAGCTGACTTGTCCATTGTATGAGATGTCCCTTGTGGTAAAGAGTTTCTCCCTTTCTGATGCTGTTCACATGTAAGCATATTTTGGAATGGCATTGCAAATGTACAAGGTATACAGTTTCATATTTGGAAAATTTTGACGCAGATGCTTTGTGATGTCCAGTTCGCATTTACAAGCAGTTTTGTGCTAAATGCTAAACAGCCTTTCCTCTTGAATCAAGAAACCCTGAGTTTAAAAGATTCATTTTCTTCTTTTGCCTTACCATCATCATGGCAACAGATTGACAACCTCCAGGAGCAGCTTCGGGAGAAGGAGGAGCAGTGTGACCAGATGCGGGCTAAGCTGAGTGCTGCCCAGGCCGAGCAGACCAGCTCAGACAGCGCTGTGTCCAGCCTGGAGGATGCACTGATGGAGAAGGGACGGGCGCTGGAGCGGGCCAGGGAGGAGAAGGAGCGCAGCACCCGGGAGCACGAGGAGGCGATGCAAGGCCAACAGCGACAGATCAAAGAGGTCAAGGCAAGGCTGGAGAGCCTGCTGAAGGAGCTCAGCGAGAAAGAGGTTGGTATTCTCAGTAGTCAAGTGCTTCACAGCACTTAAGTGCTGCAGTCAAGCACTTCACCCGTATATTAGTATTTTAGTCAAGTACTTCACAAGTATTAAGTTTTTTGTTGAGTACTTGCCAAAAACACTATTTCAGAAGTGTAGTGGAATACTTTCGAAGTACTTTGTTGTTGTAGTCAAGTATTTCACAGGTACTTCATTGTCAAGTACTTCACTAGTATTTCAGCATGGTTGCTGAACACTTCATTGGTACTTCAGTGTTAAAGTCAACTACTTCACTGGTGCTTCAGTATGGTTGTTGGATACTTATTAAGTACTTTTGTATTGAACTTGTGTTCTTCACAAGAACTTAAGTCTTGTAGTTGGGTACTTCCAAGCACTCTAGTGTTTTAGCCCAGTACTATAACAGACTTTGTGGACAGATACCAGATAGTTGTCAATAGACATGGATTGTGGCAGATGGGGTTTTAACCTGTGAATGAAGCGAGTTATTGAGGTATTCCTTTAATCTATGGAGAAACAATTCATCATTATTCCAGTCCTGCAAATGTTTTGTCTCACCAGGCGAGTTTAATGGACTTGAAGGAGCATGCCTCCACGCTAGCCTCATCAAGTCTCAAGAAGGACTCCAAGATCACAACGTTGGAGCTGGCTGTGGCTCAGAAGACAGAGGAAACAGCCAGGCTAGAGTCGGACCTGAGAAAGGTGGGCTCAAAGTGGCCTGGGGTCCCCGAAAGTCAACCGAGCTCTTGGATTACATGCAGCATTTTTCAGGGCCAGTTAAATTTATCCTTTGTGGCTTGTTCGGCAAAACTAAGATCTTGAGACCTTGCAATGAGCCAGTTTGGTATTTCCAAATTCTAAGTTCATTTCAGAGCGTGAACATGTTCGATTAGGCCTACCTCAGGCCTGTGCATTGTTGTTTCTTTAAGTTCTTGCATCACTTCACCAAACTTGTCCATTGCAAAGGTGTCCAGCTTACTACTGTCCAAAAAACCTTATTAAGCTACAGTACAAATTTGATGGATCACACTACAGGACACTGCTAGTGCTGTGTGTGCAGATTACAATTTTGCATTGCTAAATTAGACAGCTGAGCTGTAAGCTTTATAGAAATTGCCACAGGAAACACAGAACCCACTCGATCACTTGAAGCTAAAAATGATGAATCAGTTAAACTCTGATTTTTATGTAACCCATTTCCTTCATCCTAGTAACTGCGGGAATGCTCCTTTGTTTCTTGCATTTATGCATGTGTTCGCACAAGTCAGGGACAGGTTTGCATTTTCTGAGCTGAAATATCATCTTTCACTCTCCTGTCATCCACTTTCTCCTTTTTGGCGACATTTCAGGCCCACTTTTCACAGTCCATTCTCGAGTTGTGCAGTTCAGAGCGGTGTAAAGAGAGTATAGCATCAGCTTCAGATTTTGGAAACAAAATGGCTGTTCATTACATGTACAGTAGAGCGTGCGGCTGTTGTATACTAACTATACGCATGCATTCCAGGCATACTTGTCTCCAACAATGGTGGTACTTATGTCGGAACTCTCTCTATACATGGCTCTGGTGCAGTTGAGTCTTTTCCTCATAGGCTGACAGGCATACTAAAATGCAAGATGGTACAGTTAAGACTCAGCCTAAGAGGCTTGACAGTATGGCGTGAGTAGCATTGAGTACTACTGAGTATGAGGCTTTTGATTATGGGTAGAATGCCGATTATTAGGTTGCAAAAGGACTCAGGCGTGAGCTGGAGTCTGAGTTATGTTGCAGGATATTTGTACTTTTCCTGCATAATTGTGCTCAAATGATCATGCTCCTTATTCAAAACTCACATTTGACAAGGCTTCAATTCCTATAGCATAGTCTTAATGTTTCAGCGAGCTTTGAGACACACAAAAGAAAGACTCAACTGCAGAGACATTCTCAGCTTTTCCTCGGTCTTCTTTGTTTGATTTTGTTTCCTCTATTCTTATCAAATCTCATTTCCATTTGACAAGAGGCAGTCAAGTCTGGGTCCAAGCCCCAAATAATAAAAAGCCACCAGAAAAAATTAATGACTAAAAAGAGCAGACTAGGGCTACCCCCAATTACTTGTCTACAGCTGGAATTGGCACATACATCAAAGGGAAGTGAATGATGCCGCAAGTAATCGGCTTCCATAGGCGAGTGGAAAATTTCAAGCTGTAGCCAGGTAATTCAGGCTCTTCTGAGCAGTCCATGTGAATCTCGCAGTGGAGTAAGTCTGGGCTTGACGTGGAGCCTGACTAGATTCTAGAAATGGTTTTTTGATTGTGAACTTGTTTTTATGTCTTACTGGCTGATGACTTGTGTCTGAGCGCTGCCATTTCGGAACTTCCTATTCTGAATGTTCTTTGAACAAACCTGTTAAATTGACCCCAGATTTTTGGGTGACATGCTTGCAAGAAAACGCCAGACAGCTATAGCATGATTATCATGCTGACGGTTTTCTCACTCATTTAATGCTCACTTTCTTTCATCCCTTGAGTTTTGATTCTCTATCTTCATGCATGCGCAGAAAACTCGCAAAATATACATGGTAAGTTGCCCCTATACTCTCACCAGCATCCTGCATGGTCATGCTCGCTCCCATTCTGAACATTTGGAAGTTGAGTCAGTCCCGGTGTTTTTGTTTCATTTGAGTTTAAATTTTTTTTTCAGGCCGTACGGAATAAAGCCTTGTTGACCAACATAAGTCATTCTTGGCACAAGAGCAGAGCACAGTTTTATTGAATTACATGTATCTTACAACAGGTTCTAATCATTGGGTTAAACTGTGACTGTGACGTGAAATGCAGTCAAGTGATATCTGAATTCAAACCTTTGGTGAACTCCAAAGTTGCTGAGATGCACAGCCGCTGTGGTTTTAGTATTCATTGAGGGAGTAACAGAGGTTTGTGCTGGAGTACTGTGCTGGGTCATTTCTACATGTTGTGCCCCAAAAGACGCAGAAGTCTGTAATTCACTCACAGATTTCCTTTGAATAGACAACCTACTGTTGGCTGTTCCTTGATTTTTTTTTGAGAAAGCCCTCTTCATGAACCTACTTGTACAAATAACGAGAAGACTATCTTTGATTCTAGTTAACCGGAGCGGTGAAGCCACCTTGTTCGATCGGTGAAATTTCAGAGAACAGGGTTGCTGCGTCCTTGTTCAAATATAAATGACTGTCTGATAATACCCGGTAGTTTGCCGGAGTGGTTAACCAGACTTTGAGCAAAGAGAACTTGTCACAAGTGACATTGTCGTTTTTTAGTCGCACACCAAGGCATGTGATATAATCCTTGTGCACGGTAGAATGACCCTACTTTATGTAGAAACCCTTTTTAAAAAAAACAACCCAATACTTATTCCCCTGGCTTCATTCTTAACAGTAACCCTCCTACTAACATGTGTCACTTAGTTTTCTTTGCAGCACCTCCCAGCCCTTGTGTTATGAGAGTAGAAAGTTACATTGTTAAATCTTGAGCCTTCTGTGTCGTGATTTAGTCAGAATTTTGGCTGTTATATCAAATAGAATTTGGATTCTGATTTTTCCTTTTAAAGCCGGATGAGATTCACTGATATCTTAAGTGAAATTATCGTGCGGAGTGCATGCACACATGTGAAACAGTTTGATGTTTAAAAACTGATCTTCTGAATGTTTCAGAGAAGGCAAGTATTGATCGGTCTCGTTCTAGTTTCCACCTCTGGTGGTCCCAGCTCTTATCCCACCTGATACTTAGCGCGTGCAGGTAATGCCATGTCTTGTCTGGTCATGCTAAATTCAGTAGGTTTTCCTTAGGAGTAATTGTGATGTTTTTTCTGCATTGTTAATACAAAATACACATGTCCTCCACGGTCCTTTCTTTGACACATTTTCGAATTGGTTTCAGTGCGGTAATCAAATTTACTGTTTTGAAGGTCCTTGACTTGTGTTGTTAAGACAATAAATCCCAACTTGTAATTTAACAGTGCATCTGGAGCATTTGAGAATGACAACTTTTTTTCATGAGACTTGTCTAGAATTCTGAAATGGAAGTAGATTTTTTTCCCCATCAACCAAGAGCTGAAGTCAAGCTCCCCTGCCTGTAACATATCCCACAAAAACCCCAGAAAGTAATATTAGCATAGCTCTTGCTATCCTGTGCATGATCATGTACTAGAAGTCATTAACATTTGTCTGACTTCAAGTCTGAAGTAAAACGTTTGAGTAGTGATTTGTGTACGTTAACTCTTAGTGGAAAGAACAAGACCGCTGACTATTAATGAGTTGATATGGACTTGCTCCTGGAGATGTAGCCAGCACACATTTAACTGCCACACTATTGTCTACTTCCTGAAGTTCAGTAACCAATCTGGCAAATGGCCCCTGTACCTGTCCCTTGGGTGGGATGTTAAAAGCCACAGGCTCGAGGCACCAAATTAGTGTACCTTTCAGAATCCTAGAAATCAGAAATCAACTTGCATGTACTTTGAAAAAATGCTGTTTCTGCACAAGGGCACGACGAGCTATTGGCTATTTTAATGAACATACGTGAAGAGACTTTGGACATCACAATGATCCTTTTTTTTTTCAAGATGTGCATCATCTTCTTGTTTTTCAGCTGCGAGAGGACAAAGAAGAGGAGGAGAAGAGGGCAGCCAAGGCCCTGGAGGAAGCCACGGCGAGGCACAAAGACGAGACGGCCAAGACGCAGAGCGAGGTGGACCGCCTCCTGGAGATCATGAAGGAGATGGAAGGGGAGAAGAACGACAAGGACAAGAGAGTGACGGAGCTTGAAAGGTACGCACAGGCAGTCGGGAAAGGAGAGGTGGGAGCTTGGATTGATCCTAGTCCTCCGTGAATACCACTGGACCAGTTGTAAAATCCAGATTATCCTCCTTGTTCAGATGGTGGGGGAGCTAAGGTTTGTAAGCTGCTTAGCAAAGGACTGTTGGGAGCTTGGATCAGTCTTGGTCCTTGATAGATACTAATGGAGCAAGTCCAAAGGTCAGAACGTTCCTGCAGTGGTTAGAGTTTTGTGCTCAGAAAGGTGTGAATGTGGTTAAACAGTACTGATAGATCAGTTTCAAAATTCAGACTACTTCATCGATAGAGTTCCATTCAGAGGAAGAGAGAGCTGACAATGAAGGCAAGAGAAGGCATTGATCTGTCTTTAAAGCCTCTTTCTTACTAATAGAGCTTTTTTCAAGGTTAAGGTCTTTAGTAAGAGTGGTCTGTTCAGAAGATGAACAGCTGTTCAGGAAGGAAGGAGATAACATCTCTGATTGTCTTAGATACTGTGAACCGTATACCCTTGCTTACCTGTCACTGAACATTTTCAGAACTTGGAACCATCCTTCACGGTGCCTTTAAGAAGTTTTGAAACCATGGGTGATGCCATGTGTAACGAAGGAAGGAGGCAAGGCTTTGATTTACGGATCTTAAGATCAAAATTATGGGTCACAAGAAGTTAGCAGATGGCATAAAAGAAATTGACTTCTATAGCATTAATCTGTTCGGTGCTTGAAAGCTTACCCCTGTGGTCATCATAGCCAGAGCTGGAATTGCATATACATGTACCGGTACCTGGATTCTCAAGAATAATAAAAAATCAGTTAGACTCCCCTGCCAGTGTTCCCTGAGGTGAGGACATTTAGGGAAACCAGTTGTTGCTGTGACAATAGGCTGCTGATGCAGAGCAGTAGCTGTCACGTCGCCATAGTCATACCTTTGTTGTCCCATGGTGTACAGACTGCAATCAGATATCCGAGGGTGTTCTATTGGTCTGTGAGACACGTACGGCCTGTGGAAGACACTCCTGTCTTCAAGTGTTTGGATCAACAAAATGGAAACCTCTTTTTTTAGGGAAAGCATTGTATTTTTGTATGGCATGCAGTGAAGTGATTTTTAACATGTTGTTACGAGTGTTCTCATCAAATTAACCTGTAACCTTTTATACCTAACTCATAATGTAGTATAATCAGGAAGCATTGTCCGGGGTGAGTTTTTTTTTTCTTTGCCTGGAATCAGTTTGTCAATCCATGTCGTTAACTCAAGGTCATCTGTTTCAAAATAGAAGGTTTGTGGTTTGTTCGTATTGTACGCAGTGTGCTTGTGCCACTGTTTCCCTGGTTTCTGTCACTTGTATCGTAGTGCATTCTTATCTATATTCTGTTTTCAGATTTGGAAAAATTTGTGGAGTTGTCACCCCTGTTTGTTGTCGTGGCAGTTGTTCATTCATCACGTTAGGTAACATGCTGTTGTTGCGCATGCATCGGGGCACAGAGCCTGTTGGAGATGTTGTGGTACTTTTTTGAGTTGGATTAATTGTGACTTGAGAATGAATTCCGTGCATAAGAAATTCCTGTGAGGGTAAGACTGTAGAAATATAATATTACGCATGTGAGCCCTTTTTTCAAGATGTATTTTTTTTTGTGTGTGTGCGTTGGGAGATGTTAATTTATTTAACATCTCCCCATAATTAATTTATATAACCGGCAAAACCTGTTATATAAATTAACATCTCCCCAACGCAAAAAAAAATACATCTTGAAATTGTTAGCGGTACCCGCTGCTTCACCTGACTTGGACCGGCCAGCTGACCCCGGCAAGCTCGGTGGTCGATTGGTTAAGACGTCTGCACTAGTAAGCAGGAGGTTGTGGGTTCGAGTCCCACCCGAGTAAGCTTGTGACTTTTTTTCGCAAGCTCTCAGACAAGCACTGAGCATACAGTGTTTATTAATATATATGTTGGGTAAGGGCAAAACCCGTTATATAAATGATAGCCCTTGTTGAACATGGGATATTTCTATGAACATGTCGTTGGTTTCACCACGAAGTGACATCGTGGATAGTTGCTGCACCACGAAGTGACGTATCGTGGATAGTTGCCGCACTACGAAGTGACGTATCATGTGTGTAAAGTCTATGGATGGTACGTCACTTCGTGGTGCACCAAAACAATCCTATCCATCACTTCGTGGGGAACCCGACGATGTGATTTGCCTTAGAATGCATGAACATGGAGTCGTAATTTTATTTCCACCATACTTTCATTTTTGTTTTGTCTTGTTATGGTTTTGTATGTAGAAGCACATAATTTTTTGTTCATTTGCATTTCGTGGGCATATTGTCACACATAGTTCATCTCATTTGGTATGCCTCAAACTAGTAGTCTTAAAAATCATGGTAGGAACAGCATCATTTGTAATCCACATACGTATGTAATGTTATGCTCACATTTAACACCCTGGAAAGTTTCCTGAAAAAGCTATCTGACCACATTCAATGAGACATTAAAAAATATGGACACTAAAATTGGCAAGTTTCTATTCACAGAATTGATATGGTATTTACACCGAACAAATCTGTTCTGCCAAAAAAAAAAAAAAATTGTTTTTTAGGGGGACAAGAAAATGGGATCCCGCTCATTATTATGGAGCAAAAGACAGAAGAAGGGGCGGGGGACAGACCAAGAAATCGAATATCCCAAGCATCCTTCCCCCAGGACAGTCCACTTTTGCAGGTGTTCAGTGTAAAATTTCTTCTCGTTCCGTGGTTGCATCCCGCAGTCAGCTGAAGGACGCCACCAAGAGGCTGACTGGGGTCAAGCGAGACCAGCAGCTGCAGAAGAGGAAGAACGCCCAGCTGCTTGAGGAAGCTCGGAGGAGGGAAGGCGAGCTGAGCACAGACACGCAGCAGCTCCAGGTGGGCCGAAGACGGGGAGGTAGAGGGGCAGTCAGAATTATGTGATTCTACCTCACAGAAGGAGTCCTGAGTCGCCAGAGTCACTTTTGGATTGAAAACCTTTTAAAGAATCTCGCACGATGTCAATCAATACAAGCCCTCACCAGTTTTCAATCACATGTTGTCTTTTTTGTCAGGGTGCAAAATTGAGTGATATATATGAAACAGACTGCTTAGTTCGCCTTGTCTGATACAACTTTAGTCAAATTACTAAAAAAAGTTACCTTAAGACTCAGTTTGTGGGGATGGATAGCAGTGGTAAAGGCCTTTTGAAAAGGCTGACCAAACTTGAGGATAGCCTAGGTCTTGGGCTTGAGTAACCCTAATAGACGTTAAATATAATGATGTCATGCTGGGTTTACGTATGCGCTTTCCTATAGGTCATATCCCACCTTTCTACTGCAGGAAAGTATGTAAACCAAGCATGTTGTCACGTTAGGGGTCTGCTGTTAGCAACAGAACCCCCACTGTTTCTGCCAACTATCACAGTTCATAACTTGGTTCATAACCGAGACATCATGGGTAGCTCAGTCACTGTTGAGCAACCTTGGATTTTGACTCTTGACTCCTAGAGGAACCGGAAAGGGAGGGTTCCTGGCTGGTCACACTGAGTAAACCCTGAGGAGCCATTGATTGTGTATTGAATAGAACATGAATAATAGCCACAGGTACACGGGGGGGGGTATAGCTGGGCAAAGGCTCTGACATCGGCTCTTTGCTTTCAGCTCACCTACAAGGTAGTATTTTGCCAAAGGTGGCAATACTCGGAGCAAACATAGGGAATCCATATTCATTTTTCATCATTGCTTGAGTTGCTGACGTGTCATTGCCTCTGAATAAAAACCAGGGTAGGCCTCAAATATCCACCCAGTCGAGTGAAGGATTAAAGTAAATTCCTGGACCTCATGTGATGGAACTGCTTTCCTTACAGACCTTTGTCAGGCAGAGAGATGAGAGGATAGAGGAGCTGGAGGAAGCTCTGAAGGAGAGCGTCAGTATCACGGCCGACAGGGAGATGGTCTTAGCCCAGCAGACGCAGACCATCAGTAACCTGCAGAGACAGGTAGGCTGTCGGGGGTGCAATGACGCTGATTTGTCACGATAGGATGAGCATACTGGTTACACCATTTGGTGCGCTGGACAGTTACATGTCCTGAACAGGTTGAACACAGTTCAGTTATGGCCAAGCATTATGATTCACATTTTCCTTTTGCTGTATCACCGAATCCTCAAATTCACATTTTTCAATGGTTCCTTGCTATGTTAAAGAAACTGTTTCCGAGTTCCAGCTGCAATAGGTCTTTACATTTTGGAAAGAAATTCCAGTCGAGAAGGGGTTAAGTCTGTTACCACCCGTACCCTCATGATGTGCCGTCTTGTGAACCCACAGGCAGCACAGTGTCTTTAATACAGTTTTTTGTACACAGGTCAAGGTTTGAGCCCGCCTTTTTCGGATTTCCTCATATGTTCCGTTGCATTTGATCCAGAGGCTTTGAAAGTAGATGCAGTTCATAAACCAAGGCTTTTTGGTGCAGGCATCTGGTTCCAAGAGACTGACAACCACGGGACGGCCAAAGCAGTATGGCTGCTGGCAATTAGATATCTAGCTAGGTACCTTTGTTCTTGTATTTCCCTCGCCCTCTTCTGCTTTCAGATCGACAACCTCAAGAGAGAGCTGGAGCAAGTCAAGAAGCAGCTCTCTACGGCCAGCAACAAGCTGTCCACCACCACCACCGTGCTACGGGAGAAGGAAGCCAAGCTGAGTGCCTTGCAGACAGAGCGGCGGAAGACACTAGAAGAAGCCATGGAAATGAAGTGAGTTTTGGGCGGATAAAGCCCAGTCCGAATCATTTGAATTGACAGCCTTTTTTTGGTCAACACCCAAGCGACTACAAGAGGGGGGGTGTATGTTTACACATCTACAAGGGTTCTTTGGTACGAACTCACTGCGCCCACGCTCACATTCACGTGCATGTGTGACTGATTTTGAGTGGAATGTACTATACACCGTGCGAGTGAATGAGCCCGGCTGACCAACTTCCAAGCAGCCTGTCTCTTCTTTGCCTGTGAGGGTGCGCTTTAACCTTGAGGTGGATAAACCTTGGACATAATGATGACATCACGCTTTGTTTACATGTGAGCCTTCCCATGGGAGCCAGGGCGGATGATATGCATGTCAACGAAATGGGAAGTTGTCATGTCATTGGTCTATTCTGATAAGACTTCAGGAGCAGTTGCAAAGTCAGTCAGACGATGTTTGAAAACTGAACAAAGTTGTCAAGGTTTGACCTCGGAGCAAAGTTTTAAATCTAGTTAGTCACATGTTGAAGCATGGGTGTCTTTCGAGTCAACTCAGAAGTACATGTATTGAAGATATGGGATAAAATATGACTCAGAAATTGTTCTTGCTGCAGAGAGAGCGCCCCAAATTTCCAAACCTTGAGCTCTTTCCTGTTCAATACCTTCAACCAGCTCCTCATTTTACTTCTATAATGGAGGGAATAAGAAACAAAAGAGAGACCAGATGTTGTAAATGGCGGCCTCATTTGGTGAAGTCTTGTAAGTTAGCGTACCCTTTGATCAGAATAAGCTGAAAATACCAGTTGCAGTTTGAATGGGATGGGTGGTTGTGTCCCAACAATGCAATGTCTTACAAATTCCTCTGAGATCGGTCTGTTTGGAAGACAGACCTGCTCAGTGGAATTTCGAATATTCCTTGAAAAGTTGATGCAAAACCAGAGTTCAGAAGCTGATCTGCTTGTCAGTTTGATTAACACCGTCACGTCTATATCTTCTTGGCTCTTCATAAATCAAAGCCAGGCTGTTGCTTGCTGCTGCAGCAAGGTGTGTCAGCACTATGCATGATTTTTTTTGGCAGTAACTTTGAGGAAGGAGACTAGGACTTCAGACTTTGAACTGCTGTCCATTGCTTTATCACCAGGAGCAAATTTTGTGGCTTTAAATTCATCAACAAAAGTTTGACTGAGCAAACAGAATTTACCTGCCAAAACCTATGATGATGTGTCTGATTTTAGCTGGTCCCCATTTGTGTGGAATTCTGCTTTTCACTGGTCTCTGTATGACAGTTCTCTGAAATCTTGGCCTGTGGCCTCCAACCATTTCATTGATAGCCACCCAAATGTGGAGAATCTCTGAGAAAGTTGGAACCCAGTCATCCGAGGTCATAATTCATTGCTCATGGCTCAGTGGTAAAGCCAGGGTGAAACTTCTAAGAAGGATGCACACATTTTTTATCGGAGCACTGAAAGTTGGTGAAGTACACAAAATGTGTTCAACATTTCAAATGGGAGGGGGAAGGGAACAGAAAGCGGGGGTTGGAGGGAAGCACATACCTCCACCTAGGGAGGGCCGTGTGTCACCCATGCCCCCTGTAGTTACACCACTTTTGTATCTGTCATGCGATAAAAGGGTTCGTTTATCAAAGTCCCTGTAACTTACTTGTGTGTCTGTTAGGCAATTCTGTCAGATACTTCCCTTTGCTGGCACGTAATGTAGAGGTTTAAACAAAAATGCTCTGACTTCAGTTCATTTCAGAATTGTGTTCCATACTTTACAGTCTGTGGAAAATACCATGACCAAACATCCACAGCGGCAAAACAAATTACGACCAGGTAAGATCTGCGTTGAACAGAAGCATGCCCTCATCACTTGAAAAGAGCCATTTGGTAGGGAGTGTTCATTTTGTGGGAAGCGACGCGACCTTAATGTGCGGATTTCATAGTCATTTGCGAACCAGCGAAGTGTTGTTCCCACCAAAGTAGCCTCCATTACTGGGAAAATGGTGCTGGTACCCTCTCTTGGTCCTGCTCACTGCTCATGCAAAGTAAATAGCTCTGTGTGCATAGTATTAGGCTGAGTAGCTTCCTTGGTACACACGGGAAGTCTGTCACTGTCCATTAGTCATAACTTAACTCACTTTGATGTTAATGATAGACCAGTTACGTGTCAGACCCAGATGTGTAGCCTTTCAGGATTATGTAGCCAGCATGACAACATCTGTGATGAAGACTACATGTGGTAATGATTTGTTAGGTTGGATTCGGTGTAATGTCTTCTTTTGGTTTATTAAGTCCTGTTAAATTTTTTTTTATTAGGTCTCGTTGGGGTCCAAGTATGTTTGGGTGCGGGTGAAAGTTGGAATGGGTCCAAGTTGGTTTTGGGTCGAGTTGGCATGGGTCCGAATTGGTATTGGGTCCGAGATGGCATGGATGCGAGTTGGCTTGGGTGCGAGTTGGCATGGATGCGAGTTGGCATGGATGTGAGTTGGCATTGGTCAAGTTGGTTTGGGGTCCGAGTTGGCATGGATGCAAGTTGGCATGGGTGTGAGTTGGCATGGGTCCAAGTTGGTTGGAGTCCGAGTTGGCATGGGTCTGAGTTGGCTTGTGTCCGAGATGGTATTGGGTCCGAGTTGACTTGATTCCATTGAGACTTAGCCTGAAGCATGTCTATATTTAAGCATCTGTTAACTTTATAAAAATTAATGTAATTTGGAAGTCGGTAGATAAAAAAGGTTAAATGCGGGATTAATTCTGGCACGAAAGATCAACAGAGATTAGTGTGTAGGCTTTGATTTTGATCAAGTTCCCCTGGAAGGGAAATACTTTTGTATTATGTTCATGCCGACCTCTGAAATGTGTCTCGGCTTGCCACAGGCATGTGGCTGAAGTTATACAAGTCTCCAGTTAACACCTTTATTTGATAATGAGCAACCTGCACATTTCAAACTCAATCACAGTCACACTAATCATAAGACTCTGTGAAAATAGTAACAAATTTAGTGTCGGAGAGGCTGATTGGTCAGTATTTTGGCTTCCACCGCAGTGTCATCCAGTCACATTTCTGTTAGGAACAAGCTGCTCCAGCTGGCCTGGTCAGATTCGATTTATGCTGAAGCAGAACACGACTCTTATAAGCAGAAATGTCGTTCTGGCGGTTGTCAAATACTGCCAAAAGCTAAGGAGTTAACTCAGTAATGCATTCATTTGATTTGCAAACTGGATGAAATGTTACTCTTGTCCATTTCAAACCGTATCAAGCTTTTGAAAAAATTCCCACCTGCGTTCTGTTTATATTTGCAAGCATTAGCCGATCTGAGTCACAAAAGATTACGAGTTATGAGTCCATTTTCCAGTTGTCCTCCCCCAGTCTTATTAGATTTGTTGACTTAATAGAAATTTACTGATTCTCCAAACTAGTCAGAACAGTTGAACATTGACAACTTAATCATATCCAAGTTTGTTTTTTGCAGTCCCACCGTTCTTCATCTTTAACCTATTTGCCCACGTACTGAGAAGGCTTTCCAATCTCAGAAGGTTCAGTGAAGAGCAGTGGAACACATTATGACTCAATTTTGACATTTATGCACATGTATTTTCCTTTGCCGAAATCCCTTTACGACCCCTGCGAGGCACATTGTTTGGGGGTCCTCGGCTCGTTCTCATGATTCATGGCAAAAGTCTGCAGAAGCTTAGTGTGTTTCCTTTCTTCTCACACTCTATCCTCCGCATACCAGTCGGCTGCGTAAGGGGGAAAAGGCAAAAAGCATTTGCCCGTCATTCTCTGCGGATGCATCTTAAAGGTCTCTTTCCATTTGTGCTGCTCCGAGGGGGTTAAAAAATGCAACGTAAATTTACAGCGTGGTTTTCAAAAATTGTTGCTAACCATTTGATGGAACAGCGATATATCCTAAATCACCATCTCCTCAAAGTTTATTTCTAGAATGCAATGCAGTTGGTGTAGTTAATAGAGTTTTTCCCACCTGAACATTCCTTCTGTGATAAGACCTAGAAGGCCAGCCTTGGAATCCTTCCAGTGTTAGTTTGATGCCAACAAAAGAATTGTCCTAAGTTTGCTGATGATGCCCTTCTTTAGGTTTCCACTTTTCTACCATTCACTGGGGCTGATTCGAATCGAATGTTTCCCTATTCGAATATTCAACCTTCAATTCTGTTCAAGTTCCATACTCTAGGATGGATTCTATATTGGACTGTTGGGATATCAGCTGCCTTTAAGTGTAAGGAATCTGCTTGAAATAAGCCTTCAAAGTGCAATTTTTATCATTTAAAAGAGAAAATTCTCCTTTATTTTTTATGAATTTTGAATTTGAAAATTGGAATTCGGAAAAAAACAAATATTTGGTAATCTATCAGATATGTGGATATTCAGCACAGCTCTACTATTTACCGTGAAAATCAGTCTGAGAAGATCTGTAACTGATACTGAAGTTGGCTTTGTAAGATGAAGTATGGATATATTGGTTAAATCCCTTGCTAATCCTATCCCATTAATTACTTTTGTCAACTAAAGCCTGAGATACATCGTAGATGTACCCCCCCAAAAAAAATCACCTGTGTCCTCAACTAACTCTCCCCTACTAACTAAAACCTGCCTCTGGGGAACCATTTTAACTCCAGGGGAGAGCACCCAAGGTACCGTATCTGGCTGCCAATCAGAGTGGTTCCGAGCTGTCAGTCTGAGTGATTGATATTTTTGTCTGAGCAGGGAGGAGAAGACCACAGGTCTTACCTCCAAATCCTCCCAACCTCTGAAGTGCAGTCCACATCCCTCCCCGTTCTCTGATTGATGGACGGTTTGGTATTTTTTTCTCCTCGGTGGGCTGCTCGAGCCAGATCTAATCCCTGTCATATATCAATTTTGCCACAGTGCTAGGTATTTTTCAGCCTGTCAGTTCGTAAAGATAAATTGGGGTCAGACTGAGTAGTTCCTTTCAATTACAGAGCCAGTGAGATGAAGAGGATTTGGCTCATTAGCTAGACAGTATCCAAAGTATATGATTTCTGCAATTTTTCATCTCCCCTCAAAAAAAAGAAGGAAAAAGAACTCAGTGCCTCTTGGAAGTGTCATTCTAGTTGCCACACAGTGGCACATTCTGTTCCATGTAAAAGTGACATCCATAAAGATTTTTAGACACTGCAAACCATGTTCTTTTGTAACTTGTAAAGAGTTCATGAAATGGGCGCTGTGTTGGGCACCAGTGTTTTCAGTGTGTCCTTCCCGCATGTAATACTGTGATTACCCTGCAGTTTCACACCTGATACAGTACATCGCAGGAGAAACTTGAACCCAACTGGCCATTCCCTTCCTCAGCTAAGTGGTGTCGAAAATTAGATCAAAATGCATTTCCGCTTGCCCCCCCCTCCACCCTCCTCAAAAAAATAAACAGCTTCCCTCGAGTTCACCCAGTACTCAAAAATGAGTCGGTGGACTTCACTTATCCTGAAACATCGTGACCTAGTTTCCAACAAGCCACCCAAGTTTTGTAACACTACACTGCACAAGTTTAAAATCTGTGAACACTCCAATTCATAAAAATAATGTGGCTTATTAACCACAGACACTTAAACTTAATAAGCAGGACCATACAGAGCAATCTTTTCACCGTAGCTTAGACCGGAAATATTGAATTCAGACTATTTTTTTTGGGGGGGGTGTAATCAGACATCTGTTGTTTTGACAAGCTGAGCAGGGTTTCAGGTGACAGCAGCAGGTGTAGTAAGCAGCTTCAGACTAGCCAACAGACGACGACGGTGAGAATCGTGCCAAGCCTGATACATGGCCCCGGAGGGTGGGAGAGTCTTAAGCAGGGGGGCCAAGGTACTTTACTGTGTCTAGCAGCCAGTGGCAGGTCTTCAGTATGTTGGGCCAGCAGGTGCAGACGGAAAGTGCTTGCTGGAGGATGTAAACACATAGATGTGAGATTTTACATTGGGGGGAAGGGGGAATGGAAAAAATTATTGTGGAAGTGTTGTGATGTGTGATGGTCTATGTTAGTTTACATTATTGGAATTTTAAACATACATGCAATAATTGGTATATATGCTTATAATTGTATGTTCATAATAGTGATGATAGAAATATCAAAGTAGTCCATTGTGGGGGCCATACACCACATTTGGGGAGCATGCAACTTACACTCTGCACATAGATTTGTTCAGTACATTTTGAGACTGCATTGCATCGTGCGACCTTGCATTTTATCAGGACAGTAAGTTCAGTTTGGGACCATTCATTGCATTCTGGGAGTGTGCCTTGCATTGTGGGACCTGCACTGTATTTTTGGACCACGCATTGCATTACGTGGGGCAGTGCATTGCATCGTGGGACCGTGCGCTGCATTGCAAGGCAGTGTTAACGTAAGAATACAGAAATGACCCAGGTCTTTGACCCAAGAGCCGTTGCTGTTGTGGGCATAAGAAATTGGTCAGTGTGCACTCAGAAAAATGACCACTGAGCACTGGCGGGACATAAAAGTTAAGGTAGAAACATAGCAAAATCTTGTATTCAAGCATGGACCCTCTACTCAAGGGTCCGTGCTTGACAAACATTTCTGCAGCGTTCCACTGGTGTAATCGAGCTTGCGGTAGAGTGAGCACATAAAAGGAAAGCCAGTGCCATCAAAACCACTTCCAAGAAGTGTTTATAATCATCCAGTCTGTGAATTGGAACACTAACAAAGAAAGTGTTTTCAAAAGTGAAAGGTTGGCGTGATCGTAAATTACAAATTATTGTTTTCAGAGGGTAATTTGGATGAATTTTCGGCTGTCTTAAATGTTGAAGCTGCGTGTGGTCTTCACATGCATATATCTGACATACATGTTTCCTGTGCTGCATGCATTGGTGCTTGTTGGTCGGCTGTTTGTTTATTCGTTCATTTTAATGTTTGAATGGTGATCTGGCATTTGTCAGCTAGGTGGTCTCCGCTGTTCTTAAAGGAAATGTTGCTCTGTGTTTGACCCCCCCCAAATCAGCATTTTACCCAAATGTTGAACAGTCTCAAATCTGTTAAGCAACAACTCTGGTGTACATTGACACGTCAGTATTTGGGCAGAGGTTACAAGACTGTCTCCCGACGACAGACGGAGCATACCGTTCAAAACGTTGAGTACCCTCCGCTTCTTATCAGAACCACACATACTCACAAAAGAGATTTTTCACATGGTGCTGCCGCAAAGCCATCACCTTTGCTTGCCACTTTCACAATGAAAAACTTCAACTCTCAACATCAGTACATGTATTTGTTGAGCAAGGGTCAGGAATAGAGTACAGCATGCCAGCAAATATATGTCCATATGACATAAGCATCTTTGGTCACGTCTAACTTCTCGTTGTGAATGTTAGCACTGTGCTGGGTACCAGTGCGAGGTCAAGCTATTTTAAGAAAAGACACAAGTCTTGAAGCTCTGCCATTAAATATAGTCTTTCTCCCCAGAAATCAAAGCGAAGCACATTAAGTACATTGCACTGTACATGTCAATAGAATTTACAGGTATATTGCTCTTGCATTGAGGGAAAAACAGCTGCAAACTTAGGGTCTTGACAGAATTGGAACCTGGAGCCATGTCATTGAGCGACAGGTTTAAAGCATGTTTTTGGTTTCGTGAATCCTGATTAGATTAAAGCTTATTAGAATCAAAAAGCAGACACAACCGTTGTTTTTAATTGTTTAAAACTTATTTTATAAGTTCCTTGAACGTCTTTAGGATAAATCCAGCAAAATTTTTGAAAATCAGGTCCTTGGTGGTAAACGTGAAGCCAAGAACTGCTCCTTCTTCGATTGGAATCTGCTCACCAGTTCAGCAGAATAAAATGCAGTGTTTAACCATCATTTCCTCTTTCCTTTTACAGACAAGAAGCAATAACCGCAGCTATTGGGGAGAAAGATGCCCACATAGCCCTCCTGGAGCTCAACCGGAAGAACCCCAAGGCCTGTGAGGAACTTAAGGGGCTGAAGAAGGAGAAGGACGCCCTGGTACAACTCCTCAAGGATGAGGTATGTCTCCTTTGTTTTGTGTTGGTCTGAGGGATAAGAATTTATTGCCCCTGGCTTGCTTGTAGGGATACTGTGTGTCATTTGGAGAGTCCACTTCCTTCACGCTTTGTCTCGTCGGTGCAACAGATCAAAACGTACAAAGTGCAACGGAAGATTTCTCGTTGGCCAGTGATATTATGGGCACAGTGATTACTCAAAATGGACAGATAACTGTATTAGGCCAAATTCACAGGGTTTTGGTTCACGCGCTGGTTCTCGCGCTAATGCCTTTTACACACTCATTGTGTGTGATGTATTCACTTCGGTACTCGATTGCCTATAAATGGTTCTCGACCTCCTTTTTGCTTGGGATATATAAGCTTAAAATGTGAGATATTGGGCTCTGCAACACTGTGAAGTTTTGTTGCAGCAATTGCAGTAATTCTACCGTCAATTTTGGTGGCAGCTCTCCTACGACCGCTGGAGTTGAGATGTACATGTAGTTCACTGTGCGGCCAGTTCATGATGGAGAAAAAGTACCCCAACATGTGGTGGTTTTCCCATGTTGTACCGTGCAATTCATTTTGTTCCCGTGAACCGTTGAGAAGGAGGGCAGGGGTTTAAATCATGTCCCAGTCACGTAGCGGTAAGGCAGCCATACGTCAACCCAACGGACCCCTGCCCCTTGCTCTGTTGACACACCTCTCCAACCCTAATTAGATACGCACGTACTCCTCCCCCTCCCCCCCATCCCTACTATACTCAAAAAAGGGCTTTTAGGTCATGCAGTGGGGATCTTTGGAGGGGCTCGGGCAACTTAATCTTATTCAGGAATTTTTTTTCTTTTACGAGGCTAGTTTGATGCAAGGCCAGGACAGATGATGGATGTACACCATGAAGCCCTGAAAGTGTTACCCTTTTCCCTTTTTTGTCCCTGCCTGGTTTTATTCCCGCTTCACATGGTTGTTCCCTGTAATTGTAATCAAGGATCCCTTCCACTGGAAATTTTTTATCATGAATGTGATAAAGACTTGAAGAATGAAATTGAACTGTTTTGCTAATTTTTCAACTGTAAAGTATGGAATTGTCGACCATATTGCACATGACTCATTACATAGGTAAGTGATCCGCTGGGGAGTCTAGACTAGAAAAAAAATTCACAGCAGTAAAATGTGGACTTGTATCAGTACTTGTATGTACTCCTTACTACACCTGTTTGTGAACCAGTGCACCTATGTCCTTGTTCTTCACTTCACTTAACTGGCCCTGGTGAGTAGTGAATATAGTCTGTCCTTCTATCATGTCCATATGCCTACTTCTAATTCAATTTGAAGGGCACATGGCATAAGGGAGAAACAGCAGGAAAAATGATTTATTGAGCTGATTTTTAGTCCCTTATCCAGGAGCTTTGCTCCAACATATCCACACAGCACTGTCATAAATTAAGCTTAATATCGTTGTGAATGTTCAGCAGTCCACAATCCCCTCTGAAGCTGTCATCGCCCAGTCTGGTAACCATCATTCACGAGTGGACTTTCCCCTTCCAAATAGGCCCCCATAGGAACCAGGGACCCAGCCTGATTCCTTGAGCACCTCTTTTTTAGGGCGCTCAAGTTAAGTCGCCCGGCAGGCCCCCCCTCCCATTGTGGCAAATATACTCTCTGGGTTCAAATAAGGAGGGTGATAAATATAGCGATTGAACAAATTGTTGGCATTTTTTGGAGGGGCTGGAGGTGAAGGTGAAATGGAAGCAAGGGTGACATAGGGGAGGGGAGGGGGTTGGTAGGGGAGTGGGGGCATTAATTTCCCCTTAGAAAGATTGAGAGCCTCTTTAAATTTTCAGGGTTGGGGGGTAGGGGTCACTGAAGGTCTCTTTAATAAAAAACAAAACAAAACTGTTGGGGGTTTTTTGGTTGGAAGGCCAATTTGTGAACTTTGTGATCTGGGGTTTTGATCAGACAGTCCTGGCGTGGGAGGGACGTTGAGATGGAAGATGGGGAGAAGGGGGTCCTTCAGCCCCTAAGTGAGCCAACATTTCTCGGTCTAAGACTGAGTTGCTTGTCCATGACCTTGACACTCTCAGATCCATTAGAATCCTGGAGGATTTTGGCTGGATTGAGTCAGATAGAGGCATAACATAGGCTAAAACCTCGGGGTGCATCTGGTGATGGGCACTTTTTTTGTCAGGGGAGTTCTTGAAACAAATGAACTGCAGCTTCTGTGTAATTTTTCTCACTTGAAGATGTCAAAGGAGGGGTGTGGGCGTGGGGGGAAGCGTAGGAACCTACTGTGTACCCCCAAGGGTAGATTCTGAACCAATTTTTTTGGGGGGGGAACAGAAATTGAGGGATTTCTTCATGTAACCTATTATAGCCTTTCTGAGAGGAAGGCTACATGAGGACGGGAAGGTAAAGCAAAAATTTTTTATGGCTTCTTTGTGGAGTAGCTATGGCCCCGTCCCCTCCCCCCACTGTTGGATCTTCCCTTGTGTGCCCTCCCCCCCAGTTTACTGCTAGAGAAGGGTGGAGCTTAGCCACTGTTGTTTTTCACAAGACTTGGTGACCCTTCAAATGAATGTATGAAGTATGTGCCATAGGTTTCTGCACAGTGGACTGGAGGATTTGGGAGGATTCATCAGGGGGGTGCTTAAAATGCCCAGGGGTCAGGATCAAAATGAGGTTTAAATGCATACGAGCAACCTTGATTGGAAGTGGTTGAAGTACAGGAGCACTGGATCAATTAATCAGCCGGACACAGTGTGGGCATGTTTAGCAAAAGTACAGCTGGTTTTCTTGAGTGACCACTTTCTGTCTGACCATAGAATTTAAAAATAAATAAGCAATAAAGCAAAGCTGTGATTCGCTGTCTAGTGCTTGTATTGTTCTGGGTGGAACTTGCAGAGTTGACTCTAAGGGAGAACTTTCAAGTTTATCTTGTTATCAGCACAGCATTAGGCTTGGGGGTTTATATTTCAAGGATGGCCATATCCCTTTTTGGTCCACTACACTGTAGAGGGCAATCCACAGGCCTGTTTGTAAGCAAATGTGCCACAAGGACTTACCGCAGGGTTTTTAGTCTCACCTACTGATGCTTGGGAGAGTTGCCTTGGATGTATATTTAGCTCCTTGAAGAGTGCACGAGGAAGGGCAGTTCCGTTGGGTTTACTTGTAGGACAAGGGATGATGGAGTATTAAAGGCCCCAGTCCAGTTCCCTGGGCCAATTTGACAGTATTCAGTAAACACCGATTTTGGTTAAGAAAATGTTTGTCACTCTGAAATGGGTCATAAGCTAAAATGTCATGCATGTACAATGTGTGTGACTGGTTCTCCACATTTATCTGCTCAGCAAAATAAAAAAAAAAGCTGTGCAGTATTCTCTGTTCAGTAACTCCAGAAATTGGGTCCAGGTTATAGGCTTGATTTAGATTGATCTAGAATTAGTATTACTTTTTTTGTTACAGTGAGTCACCATGCTTGAAACTTAGGTGAGAAGACTGATGTCACTGGATTACTGCAGAGTGTTGGATTGAGGGATTTTTCGAAACCATTTAGAAAAGAAATCCAGGTATTTGGGGGTACCAATAGGGTAACACTTGAGGCATGTCTGTTTCACTCTCTTGCTTATCAAAACACATTGCAGTGATGGACATTTCTGGTTGAGGTAGTGATAGCCTTAGTTCTAGATCAAAAGTTGTTCTGAGGAAGATAGGACCAAAAGTGTTGTCCGAAGACTGTGAATAATTTTTGAGGAATTTTGAGCCATTTCGGAGGTTTCCAGAAATCACAAAGTTGAAAATAAAGTGCAGAGAGTTGTGCTTAGTTTGCACAATTCACGTATGTACATAAGTGTAGGCATTTGTTGATTTGTTCCCAAGTACATCCTCCCCTCTGGCACACAGAAAGAGATATGACATACATCTAAGAGTTGCTTTGTTCAAGGGGATTGTGCACATTCTGATGAAAATTGACTAAGCGTATTTCACACATACTCACCTGGACCGTAATATATATGAACTCATGGCTAAGAAACACTGGCTGTCTTTTGTAGGCTTTGCTGAGATCTCTACTATTCCTGTGGGAAGTTGGTATTCTAGCATGGGCTTTCCACCTCTTGACTGATTTGGAGCGGTTTTGTGTCCTCTGCACCTTGAAAGCAGATCTCCATAGTATAACGAACAATATAATGTGCATTTGATAGCTAAGTGTGACAAGAAAAGATCCACCAGTCATGAAGAGAACCTTGGAGAAAATTCAATACCTGTACTTGGTTTCCTTAGCACTGACAGGCACTTAGCTTGGTAACCTAAATCCTCCTCTCCTTAGACCAGGCCAAGGCCAGAATGCTTCTCTGGTCTAGCTGGAAATCAGCTCTGGTTCATTGAAAAAAAGCAAGAATTACTTGAAGATGGATTGACTTGGTTTTGGGTCATTACTTGGGCCAGGTGCCCAGTTTGTTCAGTTGTTACTGGTCACAAATTGAGGCTTTTGATCGATATTGACATCCTTCTTGACAAAGAGATTAAGGGAAAAATGACAATTTCTAGTTTTGATTCTTTGCGAATGTAAGTTTGTGCATGAGAGTGTGAAATTTATAGGAATCCTGCATGCAAACATGTATTAAATGAGTGGCTGGGCCACTGTTTTGATAGCTTTGTTGACCTGCTAGGAGTCATAGGAGGTCAAGAGTTCGACCTGCACTGACCTGCACTTTCAGGCCCCACTGCACTGACCAGACCACTTGGCCTGACTGGGTCGCAGCCAGTCCCTGTCCACTCCTATTAAAGCTGAGAGCTTGTCAGCTGGTACTTGGCCCAGATTTGCCCGTGTGTGCCCCCTAATTGTTATGAATTATTAAATTTGTGGGTTGGGGCGTGTGACACACAGAATCAGGGGGGGTGGAGGTAATGATGGTGAGAAATCGTCCCCTACAAGGAGAAGATCTGTGTAAATGCTTCTGGAATGCTTAGAATAATATTTTGAAACTTCTCTTTGGAATGGTTTTGTGTTGAGGAAGGAAAAAT